GTTGAAAGGAAATCTCGAATGCTAATAATAAGAAAAACAATATCGGCAGGTAGTTATCCATAGAAGGTGGAAGTTTTTGTTTTTATTCATTCAGTTGTCAAACAATTCAATTCTATTGTTTGATAAAACAGATTTTGAAAAGGTTGTAAAATAATAGAGACTTTCAATTAAAGCAGAGAATTGATTAATATCAAGGTCTTTATATGAAAAGTGTCGACAAAAGATCCTGGTGATCATGGAATTGGGTGACTAAGTTTTTTCACAAAGAAAGGAATTTACATGATTCGAGAAATTACACGTAAATTTTTATAATAATGTCCTACATTTGCTATTGTGTGACACGATCAGGTCTCATATAAAAAGCTTATAAAAATAAGTTATGAAATTCGGGGACTATATTAGAACAGAGAATCAATTATAAACTTGAAATCCAGTTGATTCTAGTTAGAAGAAAGAATCATTATAGACTCATATAGAGGTACTAAAAGTCGGGAAGTAAATTATGTACGAGCTAAAATACAGGATGTATTTTCTGGACGAGCTTCGGGCCAGCGAACATATTATAGCGGACGAACGGAAAAGGCCATAATAATAAATCTGAGGACCAGCGAATCTATTATAGCAAAATGGCTATATTTTAAGTATTCTAAACAGAATGTATGCCTAAAAAGGCATAAAACTCAAAAATTCAGCTTTAGACCGGCTGGGATTTGAACCCTGGTTCCTATGGCATCTCTCGATTGTTGTACGGCTCCTTAGGGTTCAAATTCACCTCCTTATCTTCCTAAGGTTACAGCTCTGTATACCATGGAAGAAAAATATTGTAGATTGTATACAAAAAATTCGTTAATACAAGAAAATCTGCTCTAAAAAGCTCCGAACCTTGACGCGGTTGAATTTAATTCGTAGATGCAATTTCGCAACAATATTTTGCATGTACCTTGCTTTGAAAAACATTGATCATGTATGATCATGATTTTCCTACTTCGCAACTATTCCTCCTATAAAAACACCTCCACAATCACCTCTCCCCTTACTTGGTGTTTGTTTTGCAATAGTTTATTTGACTACTGTTTCTTGTGCTAGCAACCGCCTACTTTCAACTCCCTCGGTTATGCATTCCATTGTTTCTTTATATCAGACACTCTTACCGTCCTCTGTATTGGTATTACAAAATTCGCATATGCATTTTTCAAATTATTTCGATAGAAATGTATATATACGAAGCTAGGAGGCCAATTAGTCTGGGGAATCTATTACATTCTAAATGATGTCCTGATGCCTATTCTAGAAGATGCGAAGTCGGGTAGCCTATGAGCTTAAATACAGATAGTCTATGATGGAGGAGCTTCACACCAATAAATGTTTATTGTAAAACAATTGAAGACCAGCGAATCGATTATAGACCACTGATATTATTTTAGAATATAGACTAGATGAGCCGAACGCAAAAAAAATTGGAAATTGGTACTACTATGTACTAAATTTAGTACATTTTGAATTGTGGGTGAACCGATAGAGTTGGAATCCTAAAACTTGAATTTAGGATCACTGTGGAGGTGTAAAATTGGGGTATGTAGGAAGTTTTGGAAATTGGTACTACTGTGTACTAAATTTGGTACAATTTGAATTGTGGGTAAACCGATAGAATCCTGAAACTTGGATTTGGAATCATTGTATGGTGAAGGCTTGGGTTAAGCAGGAGGTTATGGAAATTCGTACTGCTGTACTAAATTTGGCACAATTTGGATTGTGAGTGAATCGATAGAGTTGGAATTCTGAAACTTGGATTTAGGACCAGTGTGGGGGGTAGGATTGGGGTATGTATACTGTTTTGGAAATTGGTCCTACCGTGTACCAAATTTGGTACAATTTGAATTATGAGTGAACCGATAGAGTTGGAATCCTGAAACTTGGATTTAGGATCACTATGGGGGTGTAGGTTTGTGGTAAGAAGGAGGTTTTAGACATTTTTACTACTATTTACTATATTTAGAACAATTTGAATTGTGGGTGAACCCATAGAGTTGAAATCCTGAAATTTGAAGTTGAAATCATTGTGTAAGATCGGGGTATGCTGGAAGTTTTGTTGTGTGGTAATGGAAATAATGTGTGCTAAATGGAACTAAATTTGGTGAAATTTAGATTTGGGTGAAACTTTAGAGCTCGAATCATGAAATTTGGTACAAAATGGTACTCAAATCAATTTATGGTCGATTTTTATGTGTGGATTGTTTAGTTTTCCTGTCATATACAGTTTCCTGTGAAAATAAAATGATATTTTAATACATGTTTAAATATTACCCACATTCGCTAACGAAGTACCGGGCAAATGCTAGTTATAGAATATATGAAGTCAAAGAAATTTTGCACGAGCTAAGGCCATACAATATAAGATATAAAAGGCAGATTGGAGGCTAAGTAGTTTATTTTAAGCAAGCTGAAGGCCACGGAATCTATCATTGATGAACTGAAGCTTATCATTGACGAACTGAAGTTTACCGATCTTAAAGACAGGATGTATTTTATGGGCGAGCTTCTAACATTTAGTTAGAGAATCGATTATGAATGAACTGGAGATCAGAAAGTCGATTATAAAACAAATCTTAGGATCACGGAATCTATTATAAACGGACGAAATCCCAAGTTTATTTCAGACGATTTTAGGTCAACATGAGAATTAAAACTATTGAAATGTTTATGAGAGATGTTTTAGATCGATAGGATATATCTTCGCATTTTATAAAGGCTTCCTATGTTATGGTGATATATGAAGTTTGTATCAGAACTAGTACACCATTATGTTCATATGGAAATCCGAACTTTATATAAGTTTAGAAAAATAAAAAAAAAATGTTTATAATGTTGGAGTTGACCATCTTGGTGCTTGTGGAACGATAAGACCCATTTTGGCCTTGTAATATATTGTCGCAAATATATTGAAAATATTTTGTTAAGAGGCATTTCTCTAATACCAAATCACAGTCATCATATAAAAGTTAGGCTAGTTGGACTTATATTAAACCAGTGAGCGGAGCAGTATAGTCGGACGGGGCCGACCATATGATACCCTACACAACTTCCACGAAAAACTAACTTTCTGTGGATCTATATTCTGAGCTTGGGCAATATTTCGCGATTTTTGAACCATCTGGACCAACTAGAGGCCGACCATTATTACTAATGTTCAGTACAACCCTTCTAATTACTTGTCCAGATTCCTTTCCCTTGTATTGTGATCTTCTTATTCCCATTGGAGCCTACAGATCGACTCGAAAAAACACAAAACATTAAGTTTTCGGTCCAGTTCATCGTCACCGAAAATTGTAGGCGTCGTCCTTGACCATAACTGGAACTTCATGGAACATTTTAAAGCGATCAGAGCTATATTTCTGCACTCTAGTGTGGTAAAGGGTTACTAAATACTATCTGATACATAACCACCTGTAAATATTTAAGTGTAACTCCCACATCTGAGTACATATGCCCATATATTTGGTATCAATTTAAAGGTCAAAAACTGCCCTTGGATGTACAAACAACTTTTCGGGTCTATGTCCTTCAGGGGTAAATCTATACGTCATAGAATACAAATTTTCTAATTTTTCACACAAGTCAGGGTCCATTTGACCCGCTAAATATTGACCGATCCTTATCAAAACAGGCATGCTTATTCTTTGGCCCGATCCCTTTCTCTATGTAACAATTCGCGATGTTTGGGTCATAATTGCGGCCTCTAGAGCGACCAGAAAAACCGATAAAAATTAAGTATTTGGTCCATTTCATCCCCTAGATATTAATCGATCTTTACCAAAACCAATAGGGGTCTTCATTGGCCAGAACCCATCCTACATGCAAAATTTCGTGAAGATTGGTCCATAACTGTGGCCTATATCGTGTTTACAAAATATAATGGACAGACGGACGGACGGACGGACACACATGCCTAGATCGACTCAGCTAGTCGAGGTATGACGATCGGTATACTTAAAGGTGGGTCTAAGACCAATATTTCGCGGTGTTACAAACACTTGGGGCTGCACAAAGCTTTAATACCCTGACAACATAGTTGTGTAGGGTATAAAAATGTGTCCCAGTATGGTTTTTATCCTCTGAGAACCTGACGAAACGCCTCGCATAATGATGGCTGCGTATGTTCTTCCCCTGGTTTTCCTTTTCATTGCAAAACTCCGATCATTAGGCTCGTCGCCTCGAAAAAAAAATATTTAAAAATCATTCAAATTCAAATAAATAAAAATTTAAATGAATTTATTTCAAAAATACCCAAATCATAACGTAAACTTTACTCAAATGTTATTGTGAATGTGGTGTAACTACGGCCAGCAAAAAATATCTGAACACATCCTAACGTTTCAAAACATGTGTTCACCAAACCTTAAACACAAAACAGCTGTTGTTGTTTACAATTACATTTTTATAAGCATTTTACAAATCTATCCTTCTCAGTTCGTCCCCGGACGGCTCACAAGAAAGACGTAAAAAAATTTTAAATGAGTACTACACGCCCACGGGCTTAAAAAATGATTTTTACAAAATGGCGGTTGTTAAGCGTTCGCTTAACTAACACGTGTGTTTTTAAATGCGGATAACCTATAAATTACGAGTCGTTCAACAAAATCCAAACAGCTGCGCATGAAATTTTTAATTTTCGTAAATTTAATAGCAAGAAGATGCTTTTCGCTACTATGTGACTCCTTCACAGTAGAAGAGTTCACTGATACACAAGGCTTAGAAAGTCTGAACATTGTGGTCAAATTCTTAAAGAAGATCGAAGTCAACCTGCAAAACACAAACCACCATCTATGGATAAAGTCAAATTCGTAGCAAAGCTACATACGGATACATGGCACTAAACCTTCTATCCCTATAGAAAGTGGGCCAACCAAAATAATAAAAAAAAAAAAAAAAAAAAAAAAAAAAAAAAAAAAATCTATCCTTCTAAAAAATTGAAATAAAAAATAAATTCCTAAATAAAACCTATGTCCGAAACTACCTCAATGGAATTTAAAACATTTCTCAGACAAATACAAAAACAATATTTGTGCTGTTATCCCTTGCATTGTATAGAATGGGAGGTATGACATATAACATATTTCTTAATATAAAAAAAAATTAATAAGTTTTTTATCATTTTTTAGGCCTTCCCCAAAGATATGACATGGGATCAACAAAAGGATTTGATAGACGCCACCTACAATGCAGTGCTAAATCAACAGCTACCCATTAAAATCGCCTACCAATTGAATTTCCTCAAGAAGTTAATAGCATTTTTGGAACAAACTACCTCAGAAGTCCATGACACTGTCTATGAGAGTTATTGTGATGTCCAACTGCGGGTTGCCGAAGATAGTACACAAAAATATGCATTTAAACATTATCTATTGGATGATGAGACTCACTTTACGCTACGTGAATCAAAAAGTTTTGTGGCCGAAGGTACTACAGGCCTTTGCAGTTGGCAAGCTTCATTGGCATTATCCGATTTTTTGTTACACCATCGCGATTTAATAGAAAATAAACAAGTTTTGGAATTGGGAGCTGGTACGGGTCTATGTGGTTTTATACTATTTAAAATGTGTAAACCCCAACAGATCATGATTAGCGATGGTAGTCCTCAATGCGTGGAATTAATGTGTGAAAGTGTTAAACGTAATTTTCCAAATGTAGCGGAAGAAGAAAGTTCGCAAGGAAAGAAATTCTCATGGAATAATCAAATGTTGGAATGTTCTGTAATACCATGGGATGCAATAAATGAAATTGAAGAGGTCCAAGATTTGAGTCCTGAAATATTATTAGCTGCCGATGTCGTTTATGATGATAGCTGTTTTGATGATTTATCATTTGCCATTGATTATGTTTTTAAACTCGGCAACCAGAAGGTGGAAATGTATTTAGCAGCCACGGTTAGAAATGAACATACTCTAAATGGTTTTCTAAAGAAATTGGGTAAGTGGAATAGAGGGATATTTAAAAATTTGAATTTCAATTATTTGTGTTTTGTTTATTTTAGATTCCTTAAACTTTATTGTTGCCGAAGAACCTGTAGTGCCTTTGGAGAAAAGTAATTTATATTGGGATCGTACAACACCTGTTAAAATATTAAAAATAACAAGATGAGTTTTGTTATAGAATTTTTATAGTGTTAATTATACACACAATAATATATTGTATAAATATTCCCATTCACACGTTTTTTCCTATTAGAATCTAGGTCGTCCAGCTTTGCGTATATCGTAAAGAAGATCGTTATCCATTCTCATTGCATTAGTTGTAGCTCGGTATGTTCACCTATATTGATATATGATTTAAGTTTATGCAAGTATATGTCACAAGGTATTAAATCTATCGTATCAGACCTCGTTTGGTATGAAATCTTGAATTCTTAAAATTTGGAATAAGTTACCTATTTTAGGAATATGATAAAGTCAAGATGTATGTGAAATCCGTTGAGTTGTTTTTCAAGAATTTTATATAGAATTTGCTGATTATCTTGTATATATAATACAAAATTAAAGTGATTGACTGACTTAACGCATTTTAAAGCTATTTGAAATTTGGGTCGAAGGTTTTAGTCCAAATGTGTCAAAATTTGGAATTTCGAGGGTCACCGAATAGTATTAAATATGGTAGAATTTGTATTTGGCGAAGCTTGAATTCTTAAAATTTGGAATGAGGCATAAAACGGCACGAAAAGTACTAAATATGGTAGCATTTGTATTTGGCGAAGTTTGAATTCTTAAAATTTGGAATGAGGGTCACAGATGTAGTATCCGAAAAGTACCAATTAAATTTAGTACAATTTCGTAGCTGGAAACAGATAGAGCTAAAAATGTGAATCAAGGTTGAGAATAATGAGGTAGTTTTGGAAATGTGTTTTTATAACGGTCCATATTTTGCGGGTCAAATGGATCAAGTCATTTGTAATATTTTGATATATAATATTAAATTTAGCATCGCACTTTCAAATAATGCGCAGATCGTTAGGAAATTTTTGCAAGTTGTGAATGACGTATAATAATGAAACTTATAGTTTTCGGTGATGAAAATTATATTAGCTTAAATTTTTGTTTTTTTTCGTTTTTCTAATAGTTATACAGATCATATTTATGATCCGAACACCACGAACTTTTATGTTTGAAATAGATCTGGGGAACGATTGATGTGAAAAATTTTAAAAGTTTTCATTCTATAGGGTCTAGAAAATTTACCAAAATTACACTTTAAATCAAATTTTTAAATTTATTTTGATAATAAATATCAAAGATTTTTAAACTAATTTTAGGAGGGACACTCAGAATTTTAAGCGTAGATTTTATAAATTAAGAGCTGTAAGCGTGGGTTTTTTGGAAGGACTAATCAGAGCTATAAACGTGGATTTCTAAATTAATTTTGAAAAGGTCTATCAGAGCTATAAGCGCGGATTTTTTTTAATTAATTCTAATTGGGACTATCAAAACTATAGGCGTGTATTTTTAAATTAATGTCGAGAATGACTATCAGATTTAAACCAAATTTAGGAAGAACTATCAGAATTTGTTAATTAATTTTAGGAAGGACTAATCAGAGCTATAGGCGTGGATTTTAAAACTTAATTTTGAAAAGAACTATCAGAGCTATAAGCGTGAATTTTTAAATTAATTTTAGGTTTGACTTTTACAGCTATAAGCATAGTTTTTAATGAATTTTGAGAAGGACTACCAGATTTACACAAATAATTGGAAACTGGCACGAAAATGTATAGTCTGTCCCGTTCAACTATACTACTTCGCTCACGGATTTAGAATCGTTTACTTGAACTGAGGTTTGTATGTGTATTTTAGGAGAGTTCCCTATTAGCAGATAGGAGAGACTGTGACACCTTCGAATATCAAAATAAATTACTTTCGCAAAGTTTGAAATCTCTAGCTAATGATTTTTTTAGACGCACGTTTTTTGCATATTCTTATAAAAATAATTAAAGATATAATGTTTTTAAAAGATTGATAGGAAAAAAACAAGAGAAAGTAACTTTGGGGTATATTCGGCATTTTAAATTGGGACATATTCGTAATATACAGGTAGTGCTATGTTATTTACATAAAATGTTTTCACAGGTATCGAATATCAAAATAAATTACATTCGCAAAGTTTGAAATCTCTAGCTAATGATTTTATTTATGTTTTTGTCATATTTCCATGTTTTTGTAATATTTCATGTATAAAACTTAATTATTAAGACAGTATTATTAAATAGCATTTAATTACAATGCATATTCTTATAAAAAAAAAATAATTAAATATATAATGTTTTTAGAAAATTGATAGAAAAAAATAAAAAAATTCTACAGAAAGTAACTTTGAGGTAAATTCGGCACTTTATAGTGAGAACATTCGGCATATAAAGTAGTGCTATATTTTTTCCTTAAAATGTTTTTGAGTTTGTCTTTAAAAATAATCATTTAATATCCTTTTCGAAATTACACATATAAGACCAAAAGTGCTTGTATTGACGAAAATGCGATAGAAAAAAGCTATTTCAAATGGTGTGTGCGACCTTGAGACGTCAACGTCCGCCGCTAGAAAATATAGCCTCAAAAGTCAAACACTGAGTTGCATATTAAAACAAAACAGAGCCTTGAGAGGACCTAAATTTCAACCAGACTGATAGGGGTGATAACTTTTTTTGCAAAAACATTTTTAGCTAATACTAAATTGTTATATGTTTTTGGTTCTAGTTTTTATATAATTAAGTATCGGAGGACAATACAGTTGTTGTATCTGTTGAATAGGTACTGAAAAATAGAGCCCTAAAAAGTGAATACCTATTTATTATGTACTTGCTTCTTACCTCATACGACGACCGATGAACGTACTCCTTATGTTCCATGTCATTCTATCTAGAAAAAGAAAAATGCATTATTATTTATTAAGAATACATTTAATAAAAAATTCATCTACCTTTCAAAATGGACCAAATCTTTCGACGTAGTATGGGCAGATATAACATATGAAAGACTGCATTCATCACAACATTTTTTTCTTGATTTTAACACATTCAAAACTAATCACGAACACTTCCGCCATTAAATATGAACCCCATACCGACGACCGAGGGGGCCAAAACTCTTTAACGTAGGGATCGCGAAATTTACCGGCGGATCGATAGCTCGTAATTACATATTTTCACTAATTTGTATAATTATATTTATTATATATTTATCATTTATAAACTTAATTATATTTATCACTTATAAACCTTTTCCAATTTCTTTCCGTTAGATTTTTCTAATAAGAAACAACAATTGAACTCTTTTTCTTACATTTAACACATTTGTGATTGATTTATTGGACGAAAAATTGCCTTTTTCTTTTCTTTAAAAAAACACACACACATTTTCTTTTCATCTTTTAATTTTTTTTTTATTTTATGGCTGCATTGAGGAATAAACCCTTTTTTCACTTCAGGCAACAAAAAACTCATCAAATGTCGCCAATTTTCGCGCACTTTTTTACTAACACCCTCACACTCTTTATGACAATTTCCGAGCTTTGTTGCCCTTTCTTTTTGCACAAAAACTATTTTCATTTTTTTTTCTATATAAAAATATGAAATACCACATAAATTTTATTATATTGCTTTGCAGAAAGCCTTGCTTTATTCATATATTTATATTTTATTATATAATTTATAATATATTAATTATAATTTTGATTTTATTATTCACTTCACTGAAATACGTTTTAACCCGGCCGTTGTGAAACTGCAATAACTTCATAGAGAGAAGACCAAGACAGTATGTCAAAATACAACAGGGTGTTACAGAGAAAATTAAAAGTAAATATGAAGTTGACAGGATGTTACAAAAACGGAAATAAAAACTTTAGTGCCCTATTTTGGTACGAAAATTTAAATTTATTGGGAAACGTATAAATTTTGATATAAGGGAAGGAGGTTAGAGGCTGGCGTATCCGATTGGCTTTGTTATATGTGAAATGTCGAAAAGTTGCAAAATTTAAATATGGCGCTGATTTTCTTTTTATTTTGACTTTTAAAAAGTATGACTTATTCACATTTCTTTAAAAATATAGGGATTATATAATGGAAGGATAAATAAATACAGATGGGCATAGACATATTTTAAATTAAAATATTGGCAAAAAATTATAGAGTACTTTTTTTTAATTGAACACATCTACAGAGATCGATTTATAACCTTTAATATGTTAGTGTTTTGTTAGTAAATAATATTGGTTCACAAATGTGAAAATTTTTACGATTTGCAATGTTTGGATCAAATCAAATATCCATTATCTTGATATTGGATTAACAAATTTTCAGAAGGTTCATACTTTGTGGGGAAGGTACCAGAAGGAGTGTACCAACGGTGAGGTAAATATATTATAATATGCAAAATTTGAATGAAATTGGATATTCCGTTCACACCATATGAGTTTTACAAGTTTTCAGAATTTTGAACCTTTGTGGGAAGGTGCTAGAAGGAGTGGACCGATAAGACCCATCTTCCAAAATTATACCGGCAATGTTAAAATATTACGTTGTGAAAACGGATTTTAATCTTAAGTTTCAAGAACATTTTGATCAATTTGTGTTGGGGGTACCAGAAGAAATGGGTCGGTTGAGTCCCATTTTCCTACTTGAATTATGTTTTAAATATTCCGATGTGCACATCAAATCGGACATTCCATAAGGAAACATTTTTATCGCAGTAAAAACTAGGAGATTCTGCAGTAGGGAACAGACCAATGGTTAAAATATTAGGTTGTGCAAAGTTTAGTTAAAATCGGATAGTCGGTTTTTGGCCATTTTGTGTGCGTGGTACCAGAAGGAGTGGACCGGATGTACCCATCTTCCAACATAAGTTCGAAAGAAATATTACGAAAAGCATATTTGGCCTTAAATTGGACATTACACACCATTGTTTTTGAAATAACATCATTTCAAAAAGTTTACCCATTTGTGGGGGATGTTAAAGAAGGATTACGATGTGCAAAGCTTGGATCAAATTTGTATATTCAGTTCGTGTCATATAATATTTACAAAATTTAAACCCTCAAGTGGGAGAGGTACCTGAAGGAGTGAACCGATTTTCCTCAGCTTCGAACTTAATGTAACGATGTGCACGGTTCTGATCAAATCGGATCAAATATTGGTTTTATAAATATTGATAATATTGACCATTTGTGGGGGAGTTACCAGAAAGAATGAACCAATATGTTATATCTTCGGACTTGATCTGTTCTTGATAAAGATAATAGGTTTTGCAAAATTTGGTTAAAATCGGACTATTCGATTCGTACGATATTAGAAAATTCATTTTCAGTAATTTTTTACCATATTGTTGGGGTGTTACCAGAAGTAGTGGACCGATATTCCGTAACTTTGAACTTGAACTAAGGTTTGGAAGAAATAGAACGATGTGCAAAATTTGGATGAAATCAGTTACTTGCTTCGAGAGTTAGGTAGGAAACACATAAGAGGAATTCAGGCTTGACATATTAAGTTGGCTTTATTATCAAGTTTGTCTTTGATATCCCTTTATAAATATACATCCAACATATAAAATTGTGTGTTTCCATTTCGGATTGGAAAAATATGGGGTCTAAAACCAATATTTCAAATATTTATTTTTTTGAGGAAGAATTATCAACCATAATACCGTTATAATGGGGCTACTCTGAAAGGGAGATTTTCTACTCTATAAAAACATAAAATTACAGTCAATTTACAATCTATATGCAAAATTTTAAAGTTCTATCTTACATATTCCGAATACTACGTACACAACAATTCCTATTAATTCTCGATTTACCATTGGGTATTGCCTTTAATCATATACTAATATATGATTTATAACCACCCTGTAAATCGGTCACTTTGAAAGCAAAATAAATTCTCTTCACTCCACCCTGTGTTTAGTGGAACATAAGCTTATGACAAATTTCGTTTGCTTTAAACAATTTTGACATGAAACGTCTTAAAACGATCGGATTTATTAGTGATCGCGCAATTTTTCACTATTTCCAACAGAAAACTATTCAATTGTCAATATTTTTCGCTTGTAATTAATACGTGGTGGTGTTTGTATGTGAATGTTTGAAAAAATCAATATTTGTGAATTTGTGTGGAAAACTCTGGTAGCATATCGGTGTATCGGTATAGGTTGAAACATTTCGTTAGAAATTGGTGTGATTTGCATCCTTGGCCTATATACGATCCTGCCATATAAATATGTACTACTCAAAATCAATATGTGAAGGCAGCGGCTATACGGATGAAGTGGTTTACATTAAAGTTTTTTCAACACTGTCTTCAAATACATAATTGTTTTTCCTTTCATTTGCAGGTAAGAGATTCGCAGGACAGACATGTTTTTATATATATCATTATCAACTGAATCCTCTCTCATCCAGGACTACTACAGTGGTAACGTTATGGTCATAGCTCAGTGTCCAATGAGGTTTTGTCAACTGAAAGCATTAAAAGGTATTTCGATTAGCTGAATCGATATATCCTATAATTTTGTACCGGTCCATAATCATTATGTACAGGCTGGAGCTACAAGCTTTCGGTGATGACCATTTATAATTTGTGGGATCAAATGGACCAAATCGTTAATTTTGTCTGATTTCCAGTCACTCTTCAGACCATATTAATGATACACACACCAAAAACTTAAGAATGGAAAAATTATAAATGTTCCATTCTATGGCATGTTTTCACCAAGAAGACAGGTTGTAGGGAAGTTGCCAATACATAAAAAATATCTTTTACATGGCGTGCATTATTTAAAGAAATTTTTTACGGACTAACGAATATTTTTTTAAGAATATTTTTCAATGGCTATACAAGGCGTCGATTTTTTAAAGAACATTTTTTAAGCATCCATACAAGACGTGGATTTTTACAAGACTGTCTTTTTCTACATCCAACATAAGGCGTGGATTTTTAAAGCCTGTCTTTTTCTACATCCAACATAAGGCGTGGATTTTAAAAGCCTGTCTTTTTCTACATCTAACATAAGGCGTGGGTTTTTAAAGCCCGTCTTTTCTACATCCAACATAAGGCGTAGATTTTTAAAGCCCGTCTTTTTCTACATCCAACATAAGGCGTAGATTTTTAAAGCCTGTCTTTTTCTATATTCATCATAAGGCGCGGGTCCACCATGCATGAATTTTTTAAAAAATAGTTTTCAAAGACTATCAAATGCTTGGATTTTGTAAAAAATAATTTTTCAATCACTATAAAATGCTTGGATTTTGTAAAGAATAATTTTTCAACACGTCTGTAACAGGCCAGGACTTCTTTAAATAATATAATTTTTTTAATTTTTATAACTTACCTTTGTAAATTATTGTGAAATCAAAACATTTTTTTGTTTAATTAACATATTATTTATTAAAAAAATTGGCAGACAAATTTGAAAATAATTAAAATAAATACTTAAGTATAACAATTCATAACATCAGTGGTCGGCCCACTTGCAGTACACTTCTAAAAATTCTCTTAATATTCCTGTCGTGTTATTGTTGGTATTGTACCATCATTTAAACATCTAACATTTAATTGTTCAATTTGATGTTTTTGGAAAATAATACCCAACAGACCATATTGTATCTCAAACAGAGATGTACGATGGGTACGTGGCACTTTCATGCCCACCACCAAGGCCAATAAACTACCAATTATAATGAAAACAAAACCCTGAGACATTAGGGTACTAATATCTGTCGAATAGAAATATGAATTTTTGGCATTTGCAACAAAATAATAATAGACCACCGATGTGGCTAACAGTTTCAAAAGATATGAAACGTATATCAACAATTCCAAATAACGGAAATGGGCCACTTCAACTAGGAGTATTTGCAAATTCGAATATGACATACCAAAGAAAAATAATACCAACCAAAATGGTACAGTGGTCTTAACGGAATTGCAAATGATCATGCTCAATATGGTCAAAACGATGAGGCATAATTGATTGGCAACAAATGTCACCTTCACTGAGACCCAAATCAATGGGATAAGGACTAGGACACTGCCTGCATATATCACCCAATACATTACATCTATGTTCATAATATCAGTGACCCGCATGGCGGAGTTAAGGGAGAACCAAAAGGCGAAATATATAAACAGAGAATATTGTATGGCCTCGGTAAAGATGAGTAGGAGAGTTACATTCCATTGTTGATTTTTGGTAACATAAAAGAATTCAATCCTTTTTATAATCTCATCACGTTTATCGAAAATCGAACCATTTGAATTGGCAATACGTAAATCATTATCCAAACTGTTTTCAAAATCGGTATGTCCAAAATAGTTGAGTACAACAATACCGATTAGCAGGGCCAGCACAACAATTGATATGGACAAATATACTCCAGCAAAATCCACATATATTCCATGGGTTAGCTCTTCGGGTGTACCATTAGTATTTTCCATGGTATTCTTGGTGTACGAAGTGCCAATCAGACTAACAGCTGATGCCATACCGAGTATATAGAAACCGAAGGCGATTGCCATAAACAGTGCTCGACTACCTTTGCTCAGGATGCTATGCAGAAAACTGAGGCCAGCCAAAAATGTCAAACTATGACCCAGATATGAGATGAAGGCACCGATATTATCTGAAAAAAAAGTTAGAATAAAAATAGGAATTAATAAAAATATAATAATATAATTATGTTTTAAATCACTACTAGATTTTTTTATTATTTTAATTTAAAATAACCACAGAGGGGGTTTAAACCCATGGAATTTTCAAATAATATTTTTAACCATTTTTTTAAATATTTTCGGATATTAGTACGTAAATTAAAAAAAATATTTTTCCAGGGCTATACAAGGCGTGGATTTTTAAAGAAGACTTTTTTCAAGGGCCATCCATACAAGGCGTGGATTTTTAAAGAAGACTTTTTTTCAAGGGCCATCCATACAAGGCGTGGATTTTGTAAAGAATACTTTTTTCAAGGGCCATCCATACAAGGCGTGGATTTTTTAAAGAAGACTTTTTTCAAGGGCCATCCATACAAGGCGTGGATTTTTTAAAGAAGACTTTTTTCCAGGCTCATACAAGATGTGGATTTTTTAAAGAATATTTTTTTAAGGCTCATACTAGTTGTGGATTTTTTAAAGAATATTTTTTCAAGGCTCATACAAGGTGTGGATTTTTTAAAGAATATTTTTTCAAGGGTCAAACAAGGTGTGGATTTTTTAAAGAAGACTTTTTTCAAGGGCCATCCATACAAGGTGTGGACTTTTTAAAGAATATTTTTTCAAGGCTCATACAAGGTGTGGATTTTTTAAAGAATATTTTTTCAAGGCTCATACAAGGTGTGGATTTTTTAAAGAATATTTTTCCACCACACTGTGGTACAGAATATTTATTATGTCTTTACGCATATGTTTGTAACAGGCAAAATGAAACGAGATAGACACATATGCATAGAATCACTTTCTGTGGCGATTTACGCATGTCCGTCTGTCTAGATATTTTTGTAAATAAAGTACAGGTCACATTTATGATCCGATTTGGATGAAATTTGGCACAGGTCACTTATTTGGACCAAGGACGAACCCTATTGAAATTGGGAAAAATCGGTTCAAATATATATATATATAGCTCCCATATTTATTTTCGTCTGATTTAATGTAAATGGTTCACCAAAGTCACAACGTAATGAATTAGGCCTAGAATGATGTGTGTTAAGTTTCCTGAAAATAGGTTCAGATTTAGATATAGCTCAAATATATATATTCGTCCTATTAAATGTAAATGATGCACCAAAGTACCTATATATCTTTCGATTTGCACGAAATTTGGCACAGCGTAATGAATTAGGTCTAGAATGATGACTGTTAAGTTTCCTGAAAATCGTTTCAGATTTAGATATAGCTCACATATATATTTTCGTCCGATTTAAATGCACCAAAGTCCCTTAATATCTTTCGATTTGCACGAAATTTGGCACAGCTTAATGAATTAGTTCTAGAATGATGTGCGTTAAGTTTCGTGAAAATCGGTTCAAATTTAAATATAGCTCCCATATATATTTTCGTCCGATTTAATAGAAATGGTGCACCAAGGTCCCTTAATATCCTTCGGTTTGCACGAAATTTGGCACAGCGTAATGAATTAGGTCTAGCATGATGTGTGTTAAGTTTCCTGAAATCGTTGAAATCGGTTCAGATTTAGCTACTATATCTGACCAAATGAAAAAGTATAGGTTGCAGAATGACATGTTTATGGATCCAATTTCATTTTTCTGGTCCTTTAAAAAATGCGACGTCTGATAGGATTCATCTGTAGAATATACCCAAAGTGGTGAAGGGTATCATATAGGCGGCCCCGTATGACTTTACTACTTTCCTTACTGGTTTAAGGGCTATAAAAGGCGTAACATGGTCTAGCTAGCTATTTGACAAATTTATTTTAGTAAAAGACTTAGTATTTTCATTAATCTTACTATACATATTTCAGTCTGTGTGTTGTTATCTTAATTACGACGACGCTTGTTGTCATTTTGTGTTAGCAACAAGAACAACAAAATTTTGAGCATTATTTTTGCGACTAATATTTTGCCATATATATTTGGATAACATTTTGTGTAGCCGTTTTTTTTTTTAATTTTTTTATTTTGCAAACAAATGGTAGTTAATTGTGCCATATCGGGACACAATGACAGATACCAAAAAACAAAAAATTACTCATAAGTAAATTATGGATGAGGGAGAAGCGAATTGCAATGTTTTCACGATCTAAAGTTCAATATTTTTGGCTTATATAGAATTATAATCTTTATAAGTAATATCTTGGAATTTATTTATATAAAAATTGAATTAAATTATAACCATATAAAAGTTTCCATAGTTGTGACTGAGGGGATGGTGTGGAGTTTATGAAAAAATGTTATTAAAGGAAATTCATTTAAGAAAAAACTCAAGTGTCTAGGCACTTGAGAGAAAAATAAAACACGATAGTAAACCAATAGAAATTATTTCATACAATGCACCCACCAAACTCATTAAGCATTAGAGTATAACTTTTAATTTAAAATTTATTTTTTACTCAAATTTGATGATTAATTAGAAACCATTACTCCATGCTTCATTTGCCTAAAATCTCAATTTTCTTTTAACTGTACAATCTATTTGATAACTTACTGTACTGTACTGTATTTTAATCAATAATTAAAAATACATACTTATATATAAATATTTGATATTCAAGTGACCTACTGCAGTCCAAATAAATATTTAGTTTTAATTCACCCCCATTTTCTTGTTGAAAGTATTTGAATTATTTTCATTGATAAGATATTAAAGTTTTGGTTTTCCTATTGTTAATAGTGATTCATATTATTTTTTTTTAATTTTGGAGGACATTGAACATTTAAAAGCAAATGTGCGATAAGTTACACAGTGCATTAACATTAGTTTTAAAAGGTTCCACATGAATGTTTTTTTTATAGTTGCCTATATAAGGTGGAGTAATAGAATAAGGAATATTATAAAAAATATATACCATTGTATACGTGAAACCTCTTAGTTTTTCTTAAAGTAATGTAAATAAAAAAGCAAAACGCCAGATTTCTTACAAATATTACCTTGATCTCCATTTACAGGCTAGTTAAACCTAACTAAACTTTGAAAAACTATGCTAAAGCCAAAGTTTAGCCCCCATATAACGTTACCCCCTAATTTTCGGCATCCTACAACCTATGTGGCGGGAAATTTGGCTTTTGGTTTACTGGTACAGAACTTCGCGTAGCCATTTTCTATATAAAGAAAGATTTTTTAAGAGTTATAGTATGGTCCATATAATTTAATTTTTGAGGAATATTTTATGCAAGTGTTGACAGCGACTGCGCCTCAATTTTCCAACACTTCTCCCGGTATCTCACGAACAAATGCTGCACTGGTGTATTCCTACGTGTCAATTTGAAGTGTGCTTGTCTATAAGACATGATCTTTAACATAGCCCAACAAAAATAGTCTAAAGGCGTTAAATCGCTCGTAATTTAGTCACAATAGCAAAATTCGAAATGAAAACAAAGAAGACGAATTAATGAGCACCAAGGGAATGGGAGCACATAGTACTACAGAAAATAATACGAATAAAAGAGCTATACACTGACATGGAGAACATTCAGTTCTTCACAGCGGGAACATTAGTGACACCTTTTTCTCCCCAACGCGGAACCAAAAAGTCTGCCACTCCTGAATGAAGTTTGCTCCCAAAAGAGTGGAATAACATGGAGTCTCTCACGACAACTTGCGACTCAGATTATCATGCTATACGATAACGAAACTTGGTTTGTCTCTAACATCATTAATAAACGAATGCCTCAAAATCATATGCTGGATATTCTGCTCCAATTCCATATGTAACATATAGCTGCGGAATCTAAAAAAAAAACGGGAACCTATAAAAAATAAATTAAACCTAAAAATCGAGAGGGGATGGCCACACCTCAAGGATAACTGTCCATAGCTTAACCAGAATGACACTAGAATGGAATCCCCAAGGATCACGTATTGGAGTTCGATCAAGAAACACCTGACAAACGATAACCCAAGAACTAAGACATAATTACCTTACCCGCCACCAACTCAAACGAAACGGCTGTAATTTGACATTCCGGATTATTGTAGACTGTCATATGTATATTTATGAATATAATTTTCAATATAGGCTCATGTTTTGACATGTCTTAAGAAAACTTTTGATATACTTATAAACATATTTTTGTAAATCCCCTAATTAAACGTCCCGGCCGCACCGAATTGTTTGCATATCGATAATCGAATATCAATTTCTTGCCTATGATGACCATATGTAAAATCTTATAAGGGAAATTTTTGTAGAATATTTGGATGTCAAACAAGTAAACAAGTGTCAGTAGGTGTTGCCGATAGATATATACCCTCATCATATGGTTTGCGAAGGACGTCTTCGGAGATATACACAGGTTTTATTATTTTGACCTTTTGTGTGGAAGAGGAGTTAACGTTTTCGGACTTGATCCAAAGGTTGGTTCAAATCGGACATATATTTGGATTTATACATATTGAAAATTTTGACCCTCTGGGGGGAGGTACCAGAAGGAGTTGACCAATGGGTTCCATCTTCAAACTTGATCTAGGTTGTACAAAGTTTCGTTAAAATCGGATAGTTCGTTTGCATGTTATTTTAAAAAACATTTTTAGCACAATTTTGATAATTTTGCGGACAGTGGACCGACCGAACTTAAACTAAGTTTGGAAGTAATATAAAGATGTGCAAAGTTTGGATGAAATTGGTTATTTCCCTCGACAGTTATCGTGCGCATCAGCCAACCAGACAGACAACGGACATGTGTAAATCGACTCCAAATTTTCTGAAACGGATTTGGTCCAAAGAAACATGGGGTCTAAAACCAATATTTCGAAATATAACCTCATTCGCCATAAGGCTGAGGGTATAAAAATGATTACTATCGGATTACATTTCTGTATTTCAAAGGCCGCATTTTCCCCATCGTTGTGGATGGGTCGTTGTGACTACTATTTGGTAAAGGCTAGACATACATATAAACAGGTCCATGGTTTATCATAGCCGTCATTGTCAGTATTTTGAAGATTTTAACTGCATTTTTCCATCGTAGTGGATGTAATCTGGCATTACGGGATATTGGACAGTAAAACACATTTTTGCAGAAACTTGTCTATATAGGCCACCACATAAAGATCCCACCTCATTTTCGGTCTTTTTATGTTTTTTTTTTTTTTTACCAAATTTTCTCATTGAAGTGGCTACTGTTTTGAGATACCGGATTCCTGTTGAATAGAATACTTCTTTTCAAAAAATATGCATGCTTGGTTAATGTTTTCAAATATTCCCCATACCTGTTAATTTTCGGTATGTCATATTTACTACCTGTGTCTGTAATTTACAACATATATTTTCAGATCTTTAGGAACCTATTACCTCATAATGCGATAGTATAGTCCACATATACAGTTCCAACCTATTTAAGGAGTTTTTAATTCACACCTCATGGTGGATAATATAAAAAGTTCGGCCCGGGCGAATTTAATGACCTTTCAGTAATGATTATAAACTCTAGAGTTGTCAACAAATCGCGCCATAACCCAAAATGTATCCGTAATATATTCGCCAGGGGCTTTCATCCCCGTAAGGAATCGCAAAATCTTTGTCAGTCATACTTATTTTGTTATTAATTTACTTAGTTCCAATACTTACCAAAATCATCGGCAAAATAGAAACAGCTCGATATCAAATGGAATACACCCGCCGCCAACAGAATATACATATGCCAGAAAACAATGCGGGAACGCATAAATTTTAGAGCGAACATCGCCAAGGCAGCTACAAAGCCCCAGCAGGCGCCCAATATCAAGGGGCCATAGACAATGACGCCACTATCCACATTTCGTTCAGCAACAAAGGAAGATATCGTATAACCAAATACCAGGCCACATGGTAAGAAACTTAGGCACACTTTTAAATCAAATTTTGAATGGAGGAAGAAAATATTATTTCATTATTTTATGATATTAATTAAAACATATATAGAACGTGGACGTAGATAAGACCATTAAATTTCACAATATCGAAAAAAAAAATAAAAGAAACTACACGCACCTACAATACTGGGAGCAAATTGAAAGAATTTATATACGAATTTATCCCATAGACCACGTAAATTTGCCATTATTGTGTAGATTATTTATTTTTTTATTTTTATTTTTATAATTAAAACATCACCGAAAAATTACCGAAGTTTTTTTATCTAAATTTAAAAAAAAGTATTTGCGTAATTTTTTTATTTATATTTTTCCGCTTCGTTTCGTATTTTTTGCTCGATATTAACTCTGTTAGAGTTTAGTTATTACTGAGTATTATTTTTTTAATTTATTTTTTTGTTTAAACAATTGTTATTGTCTATGGAATTTGGCTAAAAAAAGAATTTTGCCCGGTAGATTTTTTCTGTTGGTATAACAGCCTGCCTTTTTGCTGATATGGAGACTACTACGATGACAACAAACGTCTGGTTCCATAGAAGAGTACCACCTTTGTTGTTGTTGATTTCGTTCGTAGTGCTCTCTTTGACTAGGATCGTGGTTGAGTTCTTCTCAGATAAAGTAACGTTTATTTGTTCATTGGACTTGTGATAAGATAAGATGAATTTTTTATTATTGACTTTATCGTACCGCAATCCGCCAACCCGTTCGACTTCCACCACCCTCTAGTTTGAGTGATTTTTTATTATTTATTTTTCCCTCTAGAAACTCAGAAGCTCCGTATGATTTGTTTTGAGTTATTATAGAACGTTATATTTCCATAGCATATTACTCATTCGCTTCATGAGTATTATGGGGGATTCCGAATAAGATATGAGGGTCTTGTTTTCGGAATACGTTTAAATTTGTTGTTACTTTTGTTTTTAAATGAGGTTGATAGGGTCACAAATTTTCTACAGATAGAAGACATTCTTTAAATGTTATCATATTGATAAAAAATATTATATAGGTCTTATATAAAGCGTGGAGGTCATTACATGACGATCGCTAGTCCGCAATTGAAGAATGTGGGAAGTATGGACCAACATAATGCGTGGATTTTTTAAAGAATACTTTTTTAAAGGGATATACAAAGAAGACTTTTTCAAGGGCTATATAAGGCGTGGATTTTTTAAAGAAGACTTTTTCAAGGGCTATATAAGGCGTGGATTTTTTAAAGAAGACTTTTTCAAGGGCTATATAAGGCGTGGATTTTTTAAAGAAGACTTTTTTCAAAGGCCATCCATACAAGGCGTGGATTTATTAAAGAAGCCTTTTTTAAAAGAATACTTTTTTCAAGGCTCATACAAGGCCTGGATTTATTTAAGAAACCTTTTTTAAAAGAAGACTTTTTTCAAGGCTCATACAAGGCCTGGATTTATTTAAGAAACCTTTTTTAAAAGAAGACTTTTTTCAAGGCTCATACAAGGCCTGGATTTATTTAAGAAGCCTTTTTAAAAAAAGACTTTTTTCAAGGCTCATACAAGGCCTGGATTTTTTTAAAGAAGACTTTTTTCAAGGCTCATACAAGGCGTGGATTTTTAAAAGAAGACTTTTTTCAAGGCTCATACAAGGCCTGGATTTTTTAAGGAAGACTTTTTTCAAGGCTCATACAAGGCGTGGATTTTTAAAAGAAGACTTTTTTCAAGGGCGATTTCTTGATCCTCAGGGATTTTTTAGGCGCCGTTGTGGTTATGTTATAGAATTTTTTACTTAAGGTGTGTCCAACTCATTGCAATTTCTTATGTTTAATCTATTTTTATATGGGTTCCTGATGCGATAGGTTGCACAGCTCTTTGTAACTTTTGGTGTTGGGCCAGAATAGTCTATATATGGTCCTGAGGCATTTGTTTATGAATACCTGTAGCTTTTGCCCTGAAGGTTTATCTGATGTATATCTGAATCGATGTTATATTTGCATTCCATATTTTAAGCTTTGGTTTCCTGGATAAATGTGGACTTCTCCATATACCACCCGGTTACATTTAAAAATCATTTATTGTAAATCACCCTTAAAATCTCACATGAATAACTTTTGCATCAATAATTCCGCAATTATCGGTCGTATATCAAATTCCATTCGGTTGCGATTGTAATTTTAGATACAGAATCGAATTTTAATTATAGATGAACATGTTTTCTTTTTTTTGTGTGGTTAGTATGTAAGGCAATTTTTTTCTTTGCTTTCATATCTTATCGATATGAATGAACTGCTGAGCAAAAATATTTTCCAAAACCCCAACTTGTTGTTATTGCTTTCTTTTTACAAACCAAAGTATGTACCAAAGAACAAGAAGAATCTCCATAATTGTTAGTCTGCTCTTTTTTCGCAGTACAGCATTGATTGTTCTCTGCATTGTGTTTTGGTTTTTATCTCCAATTCAAGATGATTCAATACCGTTTTCAATAAAAATAGACAAGGTACAATTCAACGATACTGGCTGCTGTTAAGTAGATATTGAAAGAAAAAAATAATGTGTCGCAGTACGATTTGAACCATAAATGTGGAAGGGAACTTTTCTTTCTCGAGTTGCATCGATCGCAAAGTTCTCTATAAAAGAATAAATATGTATTTTTTCTGTGATTTCTTAAGTAAGTATTTATTTTTGTAATCAAATTTATTTAAAGATATTTTAAATATCTTTTGTTATTATTTTTAGTCTTCGGTTGTTTATTTGTCAGCGGTTTTCATTATGGCTACTATTGCAAATATGCCTATGTCTATGATAATCTCTGGGATCATCGATTCTCTTCGATGGGCATGGCCTTGTGCCTAATTCTGGCCATTGGTTACTGTCTACGAAAATACAAGAAACGAAAATATCTATTCGAAAATTTCTATGTGATATTCTATGGCTTGATATGCAGTATAATTAGTGCGGTATTTCTATTGACGGAAAATGTTGGTAAGTATATTGGAAGTTCAATATTCTTTGAATGCAGTTTGATTCAAATTATTTTGAATTACCATTAAGGTGAAACAAATACTGAGGTTGAAAAATTGGGCTAGGATCTTGAAAATCCAGAAAATGACGCGAGACGATGGTTATGTAGAAACATGGACTTATATTGAAAATGTTCGCATGTCCTGAATTGCCAAATTACAGCCACCTCGTTACGTTAAAATATAGTAAATTCGGACGAAAAATACACCTAGGACCATGAAAATAATTATAAAGAATTGGAATTTTATATGACGGCTACTTCCGAAGATCGACCGATTTTTACAAATTATAGTGGAGGTCATATCTGATTATTGGGATTTTTAGTAAGAAGATTTCGATTGAAAAACATACCAGAACTTCTCAAAATGCCGAATACTGATATTACCAGTATATGTGGATCTATATTGACCAATTTTTGTAGGAAGATTTGACACCCGATGATAACCTATAATACCAAACTAAAGCCAATTCGATTGAAAACCCCAAAATACCGAACAATGAAAAATACCAATATATGGGGACTACTGGGATCAATAATGATCAATTTTACACCCAATTTTGGTTGAAAAATCGTGCCCAAACTCCTCGTAATATGGAATACAGGTTTCGTTCTATGAATGCTACCCTAAAAAGTGGACCAGTATTAATATTTTTTTGGTTGGAATGTTTGCTATCGAGCGAGAGCCCAAAATTCCTAATTGCAGACAATGAAATAAAAAAACGTGGCTAAAATTCAGAATAATTGTCGTGTCGTTATATGGGGACTCCCCTGAAATTTGGACAAATTTGATAATTGTTGATAAGGAGTATCCATGGCCCAATAAACAGGTCATGCAAGAAGCGAATATTATCGGCCATTTTGATAGAAAATCCCTCAAACTGTCAATTTTTTTTACGTCTTCTCACGATTAGGTCAAATTTTGACAGTTCGAGTGAAATCATTTCGCTCATTACACGTCCTGTTTATTGGACCATAGAAGACTCCAAAATATAAAATTACATCCAATTAGATTGAGAAAATGTGCCTGAACTCTTAATAAATACCAAAAATCGATAGGCTTCGTTATATGGGTCCTACCCTAAAAGTGGACCAATATTAATACTATTTGGACGAGAACTCAAATTAGAGAATTCGAATTGCGGCTTTGGTTGGAAAGTTGTAATTCAACTTGTGATCGTAATCCAGAATAACGGATATAAATCTTTTAAAGAGCTTAACCGAGGAGGAGTTTGAACCAGTCTGTAATGCAGAGTACGTTATAGCACTTCATAGGGGAGATAATCCAAATTAACTATGCTGAATCGGAGCAAATTATCGATGTTAACTGGGCGAAGCCCATGGAGAACGGAGATATATTCTTCAGGGAAATTTATGTGAAATTACCACATACATCAGCTGGTCGATATGGTCCATAGATGCTGGTGATGTAGATCTATAAGAGCTTCATCGGAACTATTAAGACATACGCGTTTGTAGGTTGGTGAACAGAATTTCTAAAGTAAAAAAATAGTTTAGAGAAAATGTCGTCTAGGTATATGTGGAGTACCGTCCTGGCACCATTGCCTTGCATCTTGAAGACTATATTGTACGTTTTTCTACTGTAAATCCAATTGAAACCATGAATGTGTGAATCGGCGTAATCCACGATATGCCACACAAAAATATACACTACATCGTATAAAAAATCTTCAATCAAAATTTTTGAGTCGCACCAAAGAGGTGAAACATCTAAATTACGTCATGTGAAAATCTGAAACAGGCTCATGGGCGAAAGGATCAATAGCACAAATTTCCACTGGAAACTGTTGTAATACTGATGTAGGAGGAAGAACGAAACTGGGACTCCAGGGATAGGATAGATGTCCCAGCTTTTCCAAACCGTCGAAACAAATTCTTGACCTTAATGACATGACATAGAATTCATAGAAGTATGGCAAGATTAATCTCAGGTTTTCTTCGAATTGTTTCAAAGCGTTTTCGTTTTTAGACCTTGAGTGCCTTAAATTTATAGTGATGTCTATATGAGGTCTATGCCATCCAATGTTGTCCGCTAGTAGGTTTTTATGCCCTGAGAGTACATGGGTACCGACCTTGCGGTCTTATCACGCACGATACTCCCCGAAGGGTGCTTTATCTTTGTAAGGTATGTATTTTACTGTGTGCAAAGTATGGACGAAATTGGATATTCTGTTCGCCCCAAATGATATTTAAAATTTTTCAAAATGTAGACAATTTGTGGCGTAGGTACTAGAAGGAGTTTCCAAATAAGTACCATATCCCAACAATATGCAGGTATGGTTAAAATATTAGGTTGTGCAAAGTTTGTTTAGAATCGGATGTTCTGACTTTCATCACAATTTTGACCATTTTTGGGTGAGGTACCAGAAGGAAAACACTTGACCTAGACTTGGTTCAAATCGTATAGTCCGTTTTTCAGTAAAAAATTAACCATTTTGTAGGGGAACTAAGTTGAATTAAGTTTGGAAGAAATATTACGATGTGTAAAGTTTGGATGAAATCGGTTAATCCCTTCGAGAGTTTACGTGCGCTTCAGCCGGCCAGACAGACGGACGGGTATTTGTAAATCGAATTAAAATTGTGTGAAACCAATATTTCGATAAGACACATTTTTGCCGTATCATAGTGAATATACCCTCATTAGCCATAAGGCTGAGGGTATTGTTAGGTAGGACTATTTAATATATGGGCCTATATTGAACACTTTTATTCATATTTAAAAATATCGAAATGTGGTGGAACCTTCACTATGTCAAAACATGAAAATATAGTGGACAATTTCTGTAGAGATGTCAATCACCCTGGAAAATTTATGGTACCTCTATATGAGAACTATGTAAAAATATCGAAAATGTTCTGTATTTTTTTCGACCTCCAAAATCCTAGAATGCCACATTACAACATAATAGGTCTGAAATCTTCAAAATTCTGTATATGGGTCGGGACCTTCTATGTGACAAAAATCTATATTGAACATTTTCTCTATACATTCATGTCAACCTCCAAGAACTGGAAATGCCAAATGACAATGCGTCTAAAATCTTAAAAATGCTGAAAATGGATCGGTACCGTTACATGGTTTGACCGATATATCCTATTTGCTATATATAAATCACTCAAGGAGTAGTAGCAATTTATGTGCAAAATTTCGAAGATCTATTTTAAATATTGCAATCTCTGTCGTGATTTAAACAGGCAGAAGACAGAAGGACATGGCTCCTGTAGATATCTGTCCACCTTATGGTTTTGGAAACGGGTCTAACCAGTTAAAATTATTTGTCGATGGAATCGCGAACCATGTTTATTAATTTCTAGAACCCAATCTGAAATGATACGACGCTGTTGATGACCGGGCGGTGCTTCAAAAGATGTTTATCGGATCGTCACAAGTGATGCATATGAGCCCCAAAGAGCAATCGACATTCTGTGTCTTCGAAGTCTAGCCAAATCCAAAGAAAATTGTATGTTGAAGAAGTATTTCGATTGTTTATTCAGCAAAATTGGTCGTGGGGCAACTATTCCGCTTAAGAAACATTGATCGACAATTCTGAGTGGTACGCCACAAAATTTAGTTGACGTATTGCTATTTAGCATAAATAAAATAAAAATAATCCAAAATTGAATTAAAACTTTTTTCCATTCTCCTTTTCAGAGATTTCGTTCTTTTTCATCTTCACAGCGATGATTATTATTTATTTGCCCTGTTACAATTTCATTAGCCTACGCGTTGGAAGCGATGGTTGCCGACCTGCTCGTATAGCATTGGGCAATGCTATGTATTTTGCCGGATTGACTTCGGGCTTTGTCATATTCGATGAATTGCAGCCGAAAATAGCCGGTTGGGTAATATTCGCAATAAGTTTACTCTTTGTTATCGGCATCATTATCAATGAATGTCTGCATCAGTGCCGGTGTCAGGATTATAAAAGTTCCTGTGATTTGGTATTCAATCTTTTGAATGAAGAGAAATTGGTGTTTGCCGAAAGAAAATCGATAACTGCGCTATTTGTGGGTCGTGACGACTATTGTTTTAAGCGTAACATACAATGGCTTGTTGTGGGGCTTTCGGGTTTAATTATAGCGGAGCGTTGCTTCTTCTTTTCCTGGTCCTATCTGGATTTAATGCAAAGTGCCACACGCGGCTATACACATGGCAGTGAACATTCGTATTTACCATATCTGTTGTATACCGGAGGATGTCTAATGGGCTCTCTGCTTATGTTACGCTATAAGCCGAAATTAATTTATCTAATGTTTGGTCTGATCAAAATCACCATTTCCGCAGCCATACTTGGTGTCTATTCCGACAGCCACACCGAAGATTGCTTTCTATTTTTATGTTTCTACTACATCAGCTTGGGAGTTTATTCCAGTATTGGTCTGCAAATGTTATTGGAGGCGACGCCGTTTCTTTATACCGAACTGGCATTGGCTGTGGCCTATTGCATGGAACTGGGCATAATGGAATTGCTGAAATTTGAATCACGAAATGATGACTACTGGTCGAGATTGTGGATTATGACGGCGGTAACAATTTGTCTTACGGCCGTGTGTATTCCCTTGATCCAATTGTTTCTGCCAAAATCGGTGGGCCTTATAGAAATACGAAATCGCCTTTTGGGCATTCATCGACAGCCAATGAAGCCGTACGATAATCGTTTATGGAAAAATAATTTCTATTTACAAATGGAAATACCGACAAATGCGATTAGTGTTGCTCTGGATAAGAATCGTGTCTTTCATCAGTATCCCGCTCCGGAGGAAAAGAAAACGAGGTTTTAGATTTTTAAATTATAATTTTATTGTGATAATTTTATATATACGTAAACACATTTTATATCAATATATATTCGATTAAATAAAGAAGCATTTGCGATTTTATTTCATTTATTTTTTATGCTTAGATTTGGGAGTTGGTATAACAACATATAATTTATGGTACGCAAGATTACACAGACGGCGAATTCATGGATAAGCTTCTCAACTATATCTCCTGCATTTTCCGCGCCTCAGATTGTTAGATTTTTAGATGTGATTCAGATTTTTAGATATGATTCCGAATGAATTTTTATCCATTTGAAGAACCTCAACTTCAATGAAACGACGTTGTTGATGATCGGTCGGCTTGAGTTCTTGGTTTAACTAAACTTTATAAGCCTTGAAACCTTTTGCAAAATAATTTATAATGGCTTTTGTTCGTACATCCCCCAGAGAGTGAAACGTTGTTGATTGTTCCATAAGCCGAGCTAAAAAAGATTGCGAAGTGCGTTGGTCTTGTGCGCATCTCACCCAATTTGGAAGACCATGTTCCGAGATGTTGTCTTCTATTTGATCTTTCCATCGGATTCGTGGTCTTCCCCTTCTGTGTGTGCCATCAGTTGGCTCGCTTTTATATGCCTTTTGTGCTAGGGCATTTTCACAGCATGATCTAGCAAACGTAGTTGATGCAGATCGATATGTCTGACAATAGTGATGACCGAAAATAAATGGTACAAATCATGGTTCATTCGACTGCGATATTTATCGTCAACGCAGATCGGCCCATAGATCTTTCGGATAATTTTTCTCTCAAACACTCCAAGAGCTGCCGCATGCTTCAGATCCATATAATAGTATGTGTAGTATCAGCATCTTGTAGAGTGTGAGTTTGTCTGGCGAGAGGTGGCCTTGTTTCTAAACTGCTTACTTAAACCATAGTAGCATCTGTTGGCCAATACTATCCTTCTCTGATACAACTGATATCATTAATTTTATTTATGGTTGTACCAAGGTACATAAAATCGTTTACTACATCAAAGCTGTTCTCAAGTTCCACAGTTGGTCCGTGTCTACTGGACGTCTTGAGTGTTGATACCATCAGCATGGTCTTCTCGCCATTTGCTGACAGACCCACTTTGGCAGAGTCCTTCTCAATTTGTTCAAAGGTGGCTGTTACCATTCGAAATGTTCGACCCATTATATCGATGTCATCGGCGTAGGCGAGTAACTTGTGTTGTTTCGTATGAATTTTTCCAGCAGGATATTAAACAGATCACACGATAAACTGTCACCTTTTCTGAATCCCACTTTAACTGCTGACATTGTACCAGTTAAAATTATCCTGCATAACCGTATTAATTTTGCAGGAATGCCAAACGTGGACATGGCTTTAAACACCTCTGAACGGATAGGGATGTCGAATGCGGCTTTATAGTCGACGAATAGGTGGAATGTGTCAATGTATTTTTGGATCTTTTCCAGGATTTGGCACAGTGTTAAAATCTGGTCTATGGTGGATTTGGCAGGTCTGCAATGTCCAATAATGGCTCCAGTCGTTCACACAGGACGCTGAATAGCACTTTATATGCGATGGGAAGGATACTAATTCCTCTATAGTTGCCAAAAATCGTCTTGTCTCCTTTTTTTTGCCAAATTGTACAAATTAGCTGGTGCATGCTACTGACAAGGATTTGACAACCGGTCTTCAATAGTTCAGCTGGTAATTCATCGGCACCTGCTGCTTTATAGTTCTTCAGCCGATTGATTCCTATTCTGACCTCATCTTGGCTAGGTGGTATACACTGTATACCGTCATCTCTTATTGGTTCTGGGGTATCTTTTTAACCGCCACTATTTGATACAATACACTTTTCAAAATGCTCCTTCCAGATCCTCAACACACTGTCAGTACATCTCGATTTGCTCACGCTCACGTTTTTCTTGTTCTTTCTTCTTTTTTCTGAAAATATCTTCTCTTATTTTCTCCCGAAAATTTTCCATCGCATTAATTGTTGCTACTGTCTGCAGTGTTGCCCTATACGCTGCGTTTTTGCCTCAGTAGGATTACGACACTCCTGATCGTACCACGGTTTTTTGATGATGGTTTTTAGTACCCAAGTGTTGCTTTTGCTGCAGTTTGTAGGTAGTGGGCAATTCATAGCCATTGTGCTTTTATAGTATTACCGCGACACGGAGTGCTTTCGTCAAGTAAGTGGGTAAGTTGAGCGGAGACAGCTATTCGACGTCGAGTTTCCGTGTTACATTAGATCGCAGCTTTGCTGCTACATTAAGGCGAGATCGGTCGAGCGTATAAAACACTTGATGAATGTCTTCGATCTATCACAACATTATATTTTATGACATGTTCTAACATCTCCATTGGTTCCCGAATTTAGGTCTCGTCTTTTTGTAGGTTTTACCACCCACTATCTTTGAACCGATGTTTTAAAGCTCGTATTGACATGGTACGCAATGGCTATTTCTAGTTAATTTTTTTGGATTTCTCCGAAGGGTTCAAACAAACATATTGTGGTTTACCTCTGAGAATAGACCATCCAAAGTTGCTCAAGCAGAACAGGCGCCACAACACCAGTTTTCCAAAGAAACAGGCGACCATCTGTTTCGAAATGAGGTGAGTCATAAGTTCTATAATTCTTCAGCTTTCAATATAAAAAGTCTTAAAAAACTGCGTAACATTTATGGATCAATCTCAAGTTTTAGTTTAAACATTTTTGAACATATAAAATATTAAAGATTGCAGTGGGTGCCGCAGGTACACTCCCCAAGATCATGTGCCGAAATTCCTTTCCAAAATAGATGTCAGTTATTGACCCCATTGCTTTTAATGGGTATAATGTGTGTTGTCAAGTTAAATTGATCGATTTAGGTTATCTACGGGGATATCCCTTCCTATTGTGGGAGAGTTTGATGTATTAGTTACACTTATCGGCCCACTCCATTACTCTCGATTTACAGGGGATGTGGAGGAGAACGTGTTATCATATTTATGGCTTATCATTTATCTTCGTTATTAAGTGATTTGTTTTGATTCGCATTATTCGTGTTTTATGCTAGGGGTTTTTTGCAAAGAGCGCTATGCGAACTGCGCAGGTACAAATAGTGCAGGATATATGATGTTACTGTCGTGTTTGCACAGTGGGTATTGTAAACTTACATTAGGGGTTTCAAAAAAAAAGAAAAAAAAAATGGAAAAAAATTAAGATATATTTTGAAAGTACTATTATTATAAGAGATCAGGGAATCATAATCCCCTTGACTTTTCTATACAAACATTGATTTTAGAAATGGATGCAACTTTAAACCTACAGAGGAACAAACTTTGAATAATAGGTAAATATGAAAATATAAACATTTAATTATACATATTTTTTAAATAAAAAATATTGGTAGTTTTCCAATCTTAGTTAAAGATATCCCAAAATTCCTTTACGTAACATTCCACTGTGTCATATGTTGGTAGTAGGCACAATAACAATGACAAGATTTATGAATGAAATTTCTTTTGTTGCCACTAATCTTTATTACTTCCCCACATTTTTTTATCGTCAACACGGATCTAAGTATCCGCACATAGACATATGTGTTTGAGGAAAAAGTAAGGAAATAAATCAAAACAAATCCTTTGAAGAGTACTTGCCATGTAATAAGTGCGCATGATTTCTCTCACAGCGTTGAAGAGAGGATGCCATGTAATCAAAAGCATCCGTTTGTCAAGTGTTTGGTACTATTACTTTGCATTGTTATTCTAAAATAATTATACACTCGGAAATAGAAATTAGATAAAAATAAAAAATATGTATTGAGCCTTGAAAAAAGTCATCTTTAAAAAATCCACGCCTTGTTTGAGCCTTGAAAAAAGTCATCTTTAAAAAATCCACGCCTTGTTTGAGCCTTGAAAAAAGTCGGCTTTAAAAATTCCACGCCTTGTTTGAGCCTTGAAAAAAGTCTTCTTTAAAAAATCCACGCCTTGTTTGAGCCTTGAAAAAAGTCGGCTTTAAAAAATCCACGCCTTGTTTGAGCCTTGAAAAAAGTCTTCTTTAAAAAATCCACGCCTTGTTTGAGCCTTGAAAAAAGTCTTCTTTAAAAAATCTACGCCTTGTTTGAGCCTTGAAAAAAGTCTGCTTTAAAAAATCCACGCCTTGAAAAAAGTCTTCTTTAAAAAATCCATGCCTTGTTTGAGCCTTGAAAAAAGTCTTTAAAAAATCCACGCCTTGTTTGAGCCTTGAAAAAAAGTCATCTTTAAAAAATCCATGCCTTGTTTGAGCCTTGAAAAAAGTCTAAAAAATCCATGCCTTGTTTGAGCCTTGAAAAAAGTCTTTAAAAAATCCACGCCTTGTTTGAGCCTTGAAAAAAAGTCATCTTTAAAAAATCCACGCCTTGTTTGAGCCTTGAAAAAAGTCTTCTTTAAAAAATCCACGCCTTGTTTGAGCCTTAAAAAAATGTTTCTTTAAAAAATCCACGCCTTGTTTGAGCCTTGAAAAAAGTCTTCTTTAAAAAATCCACGCCTTGTATGGACGGCAGTTGAAAAAGGTCTTCTTTAATAAATCCACGCCTTGTATGGACGACCCTTGAAAAAAGTCGTCCTTAAAAAATCCAGGCATTGTATGAGCCTTGAAAAAAGGCTTCCTTAAAAAATCCACGGCTTGTATGAACCTTGAAAAAAGTCTTCTTTAAAAAATCCACGCATGAGCCTTGAAAAAAGTCTTCTTTAAAAAAATCCACGCCTTGTTTGAGCCTTGAAAAAAAAGTTTTCTTTAAAAAAATCCACGCCTTGTTTGAGCCTTGAAAAAAAGTTTTCTTTAAAAAATCCACGCCTTGTTTGAGCCTGGAAAAAATCTTCTTTAAAAAATCCACGTCTGAAAAAAATATTTTTTAAAAAATCCACGCATTGTATAGCCTTTGAAAAAGTCTTCTTTAAAAAAATCCACGCCTTGTTGGACACCTTGAAGAAAATATTTTGTTAAAAAAATCTACGCTCAGTTTAGACCTTGAAAAAATATTCT